GTCAAACTCTTAAGCACTGTGCCACCAGGGGTCCTTGTAAAGGCCATAGAGAGCTAGAAATCTCTTGCCAGTGCATACATTTTTTTTTTTTTTTTGTAGACATGACTGTCCTAAATTGTTTATTAGGTATGAATTTTACAAAGATTACTTACACTGATAAATATTATTATTATTTATTATAAGTGGAGAGTGTTGCGCTTACTCCAAGCAGCCTGGTGAGAACCACAAATCACTAAGCTTGTGGACTGGTTTAGTGATCCACTCAGCATCAGGATTTCTTCGGAAACTTTTATGGAATGGATCAATGAGGATAACTTGAAAGAATTGGTATGTGGAATCTTCAGCACTCCAGTAAAAATCCAGAACTTTTAGGGTCTCATGGTAGGATTCAACCTGCTCCTCACCAACAGACTGAAGGCTTTGGTCAAACTGCAGCTGTTTAACACCATGATGGACAGGCTTGCCATAGTTTGCACCCTTCAGCACTGGGTATATGCAGCCACAATGACACATTCAAATCCAATAGATGGCATAACCTTGCTTGGCTTTGTATGCCAGTCTGTGCACCTTATCCAGCCTGGTGGGGTGGGGTGGAGGAGGTTGGCCCTGTGCAGTGCAGAGGCAGGTGGTACTGCCAGCAGCAGACCATCAGAAGAAAGTCCATCACGTTGGACTGCTTCTTCCTCCATAGTTCCTATATATACTTGTAAACACCCATCTTGGCTTACGTGATGGCTGTCACCAGATAGAAAGGTATTCTTATGTGTGCTTGCATTGGTATGTGTGTGCGTTTATTGCTTTTTAAATGTTCTTTGTAGCATCTATCAAGACTTTTCTCTTTGTGGCTGAGTAATATTCCATTGTACGTATGTAACATATTTTGCTTATTCATTCGTATGTTGATATGCACTGTTTCCACCTTTTGGCCACAACCTGGATGAAACTTGAAAACATTATACTGAGTGAAACAAGTAAGTCATAAATACTGTGTGATTGAACTTATAAGAAATTTCTAGGATAGGAAAATGTATAAAGAACAAAGTTTATTAGTGGTTACCAGAGGTGGAAAGGAGGGGAAAAGGGAAGTCATTGCTTAGGGGGCACTGAATTTCTGTCGAAGGTGATAAAAAAAAAAAAAATAGTGGTAATGGCTGCACATCACAATGAACATAATCAACCACAGAACTGTATGTGTGGAAAATGCTGAAATGAAAAATGTTTTATTTTATGTATATACATAGATAGATAGATAGATACACACACACACACACACACATACATATACATACCAAGAGCTCTGGTGGCATAGTGTCTAAGGCACTTGACTGCTAACCAGAAGGCTAGCAGTTCAAACCCACTAGCCACTCCTCAGAAGGAATATTGGGTAATCTACTTCCATAGTGATACAGCCTCAGAAACCCAAGGAGGGGTCACTATGAATCGGGACTGACTCGACGGCATTGAGTGTGGCTTTTGTTTATATATATATATACCACAATTTAAAAGCAGCTTATTTGTAAAATGGTACATCAACTGTGGAAAACAGTATGGCACTTCCTTAAAAAGTTGGAAATAGAAATACCATTGGATCCAGCAATCCCACTACTAGGAAAATATCCTAAAGAGGTGAGACCTGGGATATGAATAAATATAAGCATACTCATGTTAATTGCAGCACTCACTATTCACAATAGCAAAGAGATGGAAACAACCAACAGATGAATGAATAACCAAACCATGGTACATATACACAATAGAATATTATACAACATTAAAGAATAATGGAGAATCAGTGACTCATTGTGTAACGTGGATGAACTTGGAGGACATTATGCTGAGTGAAATAAGTCAATCACAGAAGGACAGATATTGTGTGAGTTCATTATTATAAAAAGTCAAGGAAAGGTTTACATAGGGAAGGAAATTTTAATTATTGGTTACCAGGGATAGATAGGGAAGGGAGGGAAAATTGCTGACTAGTTAAGAGACATGTGTTAATCTGGGTGAAAGGAAAGGCAATATAACAACAGTGTATGACCAGCACAATATCGCTAAGGAAGAGGAAGACACAGAGAGGCACCCATGAGGTATAGACAACAAGGGTAAATGCTATTACGTACACAATACTGCATTATCAATAATAACAAACACTAATATGTGGGTGGTAACCAAGCAAGAAGATCAGGTATAGGTAGGCAAACTGGAATATATCCATGACTATAAGGAAGGTTGGGCAATACTACTTCTGTAGTGATACTGCCTCGGAAACCCAAGGAGGGGTCGCTATGAGTCGGGTTTGACTCGACGGCACATAACAACAACAACAACAATACATAAGTTTAGCAGATGATAGTCCTACTTATGTATTTGTATATGTGTTATAAAAATGTCCATATACATTAAAGAGCTAACAAGGGATAATGTTAGGATAACTTCTTAGCCACAACCAAGTATCTTGAAGGAATAAATTGCTGGGCCTGCAGGCTCGAGACTATGGTCACAGGGTCCATCAATCTCAATTGGCACAACATAGGACACAAGAACATTGTTCTACGTATTACTTTGATGGGTAGTGACTAGGGTCTACAACAACTGGTTCCTCCTTGTCTGGCACAAAGGAAAGTGAAGAAAATCAAAGACATATAGAAACAATTAGTCCACAAGACTACAAAACCCTGAGACCAGAAGAACTAGATGCCCAGCTAGGTGCCCAACTATCAATGCCAACCACTTGAAAAGGGATCAACATTGGAGATCCTGGACAGTGCCTAAGGCATTTGACTGCTAACCAGAAGGCTGTTGGTTCAAACCCACCAGCCACTCCTCAGAAGGAAGATGGGACAATCTACTTCTGTAGAGATACTGCCTCAGAAACCCAAGGAGGGATCACTGTGAGTTGGATCCAACTTGATGACATTGAGTTTGGTTTGGGTTTTTTTTTTTTTGGATAGAGTGGGAGAAAAAAATGTGGAACAAAATTTAAAAATATGGAAAAGACCAGGATTGTTGGTTGGATAGAGACTAGTGAAACCCCATGACTGTCACCCTGAGTCACCCTTCACACCTGGAATTGGACTCACTCCCATGGCTCAGCTCTCAGTCAAACAATAGGCAGGTCTACAAGCTGACAACTACACCAGGGAGATGCTCTCCTTAAATGCTCAACCAAGGAAAATCAATAGGGCAGCATTCACACAGAGCGAGAGCTGAGCAGGCAGAATGGCTTAGGTAAGGACACAGGGAAGTGGTAACCACAGGGAGGAGGGAGCAGGAAAACTGTTACATTGTAGGTATTGTAATAAATGTCACAGAGCAAAATGTCACATGAATCTGCTTTGTAAAATTGTGCTCAAATTAGAAAAAAAAAGTTTTTGTGTGTGTTACGTGTGACAGCATTTGATTCTCAGTGTGTGTAATGAAGTGTGTGTGTGTGTGTGTATGCAGTTTGTGAAATGTCTGGGTGGCTGAGTGTGGTATTTGTGTTTTTTGAGTTGTGTGTGATAGTGTTACATTTAAGAATAGAAATTGGTGTGAAATCTTACAAGCCTCTACACTTTTCAGTTAGGATGAGTATAGGTCATAAATGGCTAAAAATCAGTACTTTGGGCTTGTTTGTTTCTGTGACACTGTGTGTGACTCTATGAGTGTGTTTTTGTGATATTACACTCACATTCTGATTCTCGTCACCTCAAATGACTATAGAACAGAGCAAGCTAAAAGTGTGCCATAGCTATATATGCGTGCACTTGGTCCTGTGAAACAGACTCACAGCCTGACTCTTCCTTTGTCTCAGCTTTAGACAGAAACAGGAAGCTTGAAGCACAATCCTCTTTATACTAAGTCAGTGGAAATTTACTCATGTCATTTGAAGGCTCCTGGAGTTCCCTGGGTCTTCATCGACCTACAACAATTCCCAGATTTCTACTTTTTTTTTTTAACTAGATTCTACTAAATTGACTAGATTCTGTTTTGGAACCTAGTAAAAGCACTGAATTTTGATATAACTTCTCAGTCCTAGAGCTTCTAGGCAAATTCTCACATTACTCACTCCTTATGTATGCTCTTAACACAGATGTTCTGAAGCAATAGAAACGGATGGGGAAAGAGAGAGACAAAGTCAAATACGAAGAAGGATATTTATTGGTAAATTTATTAAAATGTAGGAAAGTTGAGGGCTGTGGGTGTATTAATTCACAAGACCATAGGATAGGTCTGCACAGCTCCCCTGAATGTGGGAGAGACCATAGAGTATACAGATTTCAGGAAGCTACTTGATTTTGATTGACAACCTCCTCATATTTTTGTTATGAGGAGTATGATGTTGGTTACACACTCTACCAAAATAGTAAGAGTTAATGCTTTGAGCTCTTACTCTGTACAGGGCATGGTCTAAGCATATTAAATGTACTAGTTCATTTAATCCTTCCAAAAATGCTGTGTGTGTATGTGTGTAAGAGAGAGTAAGCATTTGGGATAATTTCATACAACTAATAAACTGTAAAGACAGAAAGCAGATGTAGGTACACAGCAGTCTGGTTGAAGAACCACCCTCTAAATCAGTAGATTTAGAGGCTGTTCACTAGAATGTGAGCTTCCAGAAGGAGGGAACTCTGTCTTATATACTACTCTTTCCTTGGTGGCTATCATAGTGTCTCTCACATGTTTGGAAAAAATGAATGAATTATCCCTGGTTTCCATGGAAGGGTCTGATGTCTTCCTACGACCATTCTGAATGAAGCACTAATATTTGAGTGAAATTCAGAGATTCATTTGAAGACTGACACAGCCACTTGGAGAAACTATGTGACTACACGGTAATGACTGTGCTCAGCATTTCTCAGTTCCTGACATTCGCCATCTCGTTCCATTCCCATATACAGAAGAGCAGCATGAGATGGCAGAACCGGAGCACTGTGTCTGAATTCCTCCTCCTGGGGCTCCCCGTCCGGCCGGAGCAGCAGGGCATGTTCTTCGCCCTGTTCCTGGGCATGTACTTGACCACGGTGCTGGGGAACCTGCTCATCATCCTGCTCATCAGGCTGGACCCTCGCCTCCACACCCCCATGTACTTCTTCCTCAGCCACTTGGCCTTCACTGACATTTCCTTTTCATCTGTCACCATCCCAAAGATGCTGATGAATATGCAAACTCAACACCCATCCATCTCTTATCCAGAGTGTATTTCACAGACGTATTTTTACATATTTTTTGGTTGTGTTGATAATCTCCTTCTTGCAGTGATGGCATATGACAGGTATGTGGCCATCTGTCACCCTCTACGCTACACCATCATCATGAGGAAGGAGCTGTGTGTCCTGCTGGTGGCTGGCTCTTGGATGCTCTCCTGTGGCAGTGCCCTCTTGCATACTCTACTTCTGGCCCAGCTGTCTTTCTGTGCTGACAACACCATCTCTCACTTTTTCTGTAGTCTCCCTATCTTACTCAAGCTTTCCTGTTCAAACACTTCTCTCAATGAGATGGTCATATACACTGCAGGGGCTGTGGTTGTCATCTGTCCATTCAGTGGCATCCTGGTCTCTTATGGCTCCATTGGAGCTTCTATCTTGAAGGTTCCTTCCACCAGAGGTATCGACAAAGCTTTGTCCACCTGTGGCTCCCACCTGTCTGTTGTGTCTCTATTTTATGGAACAATTGTGGCACTGTACTTCTCCCCCTCATCAAGCAACTCCAATGAGAAAGACATGATTGCCTCACTAATGTATACCATAGTGACCCCCATGTTGAACCCCTTCATCTATAGCCTAAGGAACAGAGACATGAAATTGGCTCTAGGGATATTTTTTCAAAAGCAATATCCTTTTCTCCAAGTGAAAGTCACCTGATGATGTTCTTACTTCATCCACTGACCCTGTCAGGGATGGCTTTTTGAAAAACTTTGTCTTGACCACCCTTGTCTATAGCACACTCCCAACTACCCTTTGAATGGGAAACTATGATTTTGTGCTTAATTCCTTTCACTTTAGTTATAGATGTTGCCATTTATTCTTCTACAACCCTACATATGACATTGCCAGCAGCACACAGTCATCTTTGTAATCTTTAAAACATTAATGTTCTTATTGGGTGTGTGATTGGTTGTTCTGAATAGGTCACTTAATTACCTTATCTTCCTGAGGAGATATGAAAGGCTTGCTAAGGTAACAAAACATATACCAATCATCTCTTTCAAAATGAAAACATGACACCAGGATTATGTCTCCTCTTTAAATAGAAAACCAGTTTTACTATCTGGATGTTTTAGGCTAAGATTAGAGGTATAAAGTGTGATTATATTTCAGACTAAGTTGTATCTTCTCACACCCTGAGTTTCTCACACCCGGGTAGTAAATGGTAAGGATACTCAAATGTGATATGACATAATCAAATGAATATTTGGGTCTTAAGTGGAGTCTGTTTAAGTATGTTTTGATTGCTAAAAACCCCACAACTCTTCAATAATAGGTAGTATGCTTTTAATGACAATGTACAGTTTCTATTGCTTAAAATAAATGAATAGCATTAAGTTCCTTAGTTTCTCTTTCTTATCACTTGTTTTCCAGAGCTACACACATTTGGTAAAGTTCCTAATATAAATTCCAGTAAAACTCAGAATGCTTTCCTTCTCAATGCAGTAGCTAGTTAACAAAGTTCTTTTGATGGTTTTCTTAAACTCTAATAAACTTGAATTTGATTGTACCTGTGACAAGAAATAGCAGGGTACAGATTAGTCAGTCCAATCACCAAAGTTCCCAACATAAGAAGAAAAATGTGTTTTGTAAGCTGGATTTTTGTGGTGACAACAACCTGTATCTACTCAATTAATTAATGCTATTCTAGGAAAATGAAAGTCTTCTCTCGCATCCAAATGACAGCTCCCACACATGATAGGGAAAACCTAAATGTATGCCTTTGAAATTCATGCACACAAAAATCTTTATTTCATGGCTACTATGTTCCAGGCAATTTTCTAGGTTCTAGGAATAAAAGTTAAAAAAAAAAAAAAAAAAGAAAGAAAAAAAGACACAAAGTCAGTCTCCATGGAGAGCTTACATTCCAGTACTCCTGATTTCCCTTATGCTTCTTTTCTCCCCATCAATTTTTAACCTTCGAACACACCATCAAGTTTATTTATTTGTTTCATTTGCTTTTATTTCTCTTTACTGGAATGTAAGCTCCACAAGGAGAAGAGTGTTTAGTAAATAAAGTAAATAAGTCAGTTCTAACTTTTGCTAATAGGTGAAAACTGCTATGAAGAAAGGAGCATCAGCAAGAGAGCAATAGTGCTGGGACTGGGGTTTGTAATTTTAAATTGCATGGTCCAGGTAGAGCTCATTGGAAGGGTGATACGTGAGCAAAGACTTGGATGAGGACAGGTAAGTGAGCCACGGGGATATGGGGAATAAATGGAAAGCAGAAATATTGTTTGCATTTAACTGGAAACCATTGGAAAATTGTAAAGAGGTGTAGGAATGTGAGCAATGGACAGGTATTTGGGCTGGTGGTTGAGATGATATTGGTAAAATATTATAATATACATAATATTATCAGAAACAATTGTATGATAACTCTGTTACTGATAAAGAAATCCTCTTTCAAGAAGTGAAATAACATACCTTAAATGCCAAGCTCTTCTTAATTAAAAAGGAAGAGGAAGCTTATCCTTGATAGAAGCAGAGATTTTTTTAAATAAATAAAAAGGAATAAAGAATGGTGACTCTAGCAGTTATTGGGGGTGTGGCCATAGGCTGCTTCCTTAACACTTCTGAACATTCATGAAAACACACACACACATAAAAATTCTTACATTATGCTTGGCATATAATAGAGAATATACTTAATACATGTCAAGTATATTAAGATTGATTTTGGGAAATACTCATGCAAATCAGGTCATGTAAATTCTAGTAAGTATCACCAATTCTATGGCACCTACCAATTTACCAACTCTCAGGTCTCAGGTCAAGTGCTCAGGCACCTCACTGGATACAAATATCCAGATCTGAGCCAATTGGATTCACTGGAAATAGGTACGGAGAAATAGAAAATAGTGGACATGGGTGAAATATAACTTATTTCAAATGAAATCAAATGCATCAAATTAAAGTCCTTCATGAAATTAACCACAGAGGCTAGATTCTGGGTCTATACACCTTCCTCAAGACAAGGAGAGCCCACGTCAGCTAACACAGCCTTTATAGTCACCTGATCTTTTCTAATGCCCACTTCACATTTCTGATATATTGGATGTCTAACAATGAAAGCAGGATTTATCTGGATACTTACACTGCATAACCATGCTAGTAATATTTCTTTGCCCCTACTATATGACGAACTCTATTGTAGTATCATAACTCACATTGAATCATCTAATTCTTCTTTAAACTCTATGTGCAGGCATTATTATTTCATAGAGGTAGAAAAGGGGGCTAGGAGAGAGTGAGTTGCTGAGATCAACTAGAAAGTGGTGGAGCCAGAACCTGCAAGACGTCTCACTGCAGATACACTACTCTGAATCAGTAATTGAAGAGGCTGCTCACTAGAATGTGAGCTCCCTGTGGGAGGGATTTTTTTGCTGTCTTGTTTTCTCCAGGAAAAAGCATGGTGTCTGACACATAGTTGAATAAGTAAATGAATTTCCCTTCATTTATATTGAAGGGATTTTGTTGGCCATTGGAGATTGGATGGTTCCTTGTGGCTCCATTGGATTAGGGTGGCATTCAAGTGACAGCAGTTGAGTGATATCCTAATGAATTCCTCAGTAGAGAGTAAATCACCCTACTGTGATTGCCATTATGAGTATTTATCATCTGGAACATTCTCAATATTGCTTCATTTCAAGCAGAGAGAAGAACAGCGTAGATGGGAGAACCAGATCGCCATGTCTGAATTCCTCATCCTGGGGCTATTATTCAGCTGAGGATGTTCTCTGCCCTGTTCCTGGGCATGTACCACACCACAGTGCTGGGGAGCTTGTTCATTTGTTCATCACCCTGCTCATCAGGCTGGGTTCTCACATCCACACTCCGATGTTCTTCATCTTCAATCACTTGGCTATCACTGAGTCTTCTTTTCATCTGTCATTGGACCAAAGATGCTGATAAACATGCATACTTAAGATCAATCTATCTCTTATGCAGGATGTGTAGCACAGATTATATATATATATATATATATATATATATATATATATATAT